ATTATAAAAAGAATAATATTATTATATTTATATACTATCTTATTTATTTTATTTACTCTAGCCTCTTAATATTAGATACTTTAAGCTACTTAAAATAGCCTATAATTAAGAAATTAAGTAATTAATTAGATACTCTATAATCTATATTATAAAGATGAGTTCTTCTAGCCTTTATACTATCTATATAGCTATTATAATAAAAAGTAATATTAAAGAGGTTTTTAAGAAGCTGGATTTATTCTCTTAAACTTAAAAATATTATATTAAAGCTTAATATATAGTTATAACTCTAATACTAACTATAGAAAAGTTAGCCTTCTTAACCTTAAATCTTAAAGATCTAAAGATAGTATTTAAGGCTAATTTGTAATTTAAATACCTTAAAAGATAAGTAAAAAGATATTAGAGTAGCTCTTTATATCTATTCTTAAAGTACTTAAGTTATTTTCTAAGGGAATAAAAGATAATAATATATTAAATAGTATTATTAAAGTCTAAGAACTAGATTTTTAATAGGTAAATAAGACTCTTAATAAGCAGTATAAAAAAAAAACCCGCCTATAGAATAAGGAAGATAACTATAGATAAGAGAAGAGGTAAGATAGATTAGAGAGATATTAATATACAGTAGCAGCTAAATTATTAAGAAGTAGTAGTCGAGTAAGGTTAGTAATATTAAGGGAAAGATACTATAGAACTTATAAAAAGGCTAGTTATAATATAAAGATCTATTAGGCTATTATTAAGACTTCTAGAGAAGAGTATTGTAATTAGTTTTAATTAATTTAAGGTATTATTGTATTTTTATTGAAATTTTAATTTTAAAGGTTAGTATTTTTATTATATAAGCTTGTTTGTTATGCAAGCTTATTATATATATTAGAGAAAAAGCTATATCTTTAAGAATTTATACTAAGAAGTATTAAGGCTTATTAAAGATATTTTTATATAGATTTATTTTTTATAGATTTATATTAATAAAAAAAAATACTTACTATTAATATTCTATCTTAAGAAGCAGGGCAGCCTGTATAAAGATTAGCAGGATGTTAGATTGCAGTATCATTCAGAGAATAGCGGCGTAGCACGTTCTTAATAATACGAGTTACAGTAACGAAACATTATTCCCATACAGATTTAAAAGTTGTGAGCTCAGGCCCTCCGGGAGGCATTGCCCCTTTAGGGAAGGCGTCGCACTAGTCGGACTCGGCTGTGCCGGGTCCACTTATTATTAGTCTGGTTGGGCAGTGGTGACTACTCTAACTAGCGGCTAGTGCACCGCTAGCTAGTGTTGTCGGAAAGCTAGCGTGGCACTTTGATGATGTCAATCGTGTATGTATTGTGTGTGTAGAAGCTCTTTTTCTAGCTAAGGGACGGGCCTAGAGCCCGTCTTTTATACATGATGAAGACGGCTGCTGCCGGAGGCGGCAGTCCGTCGCCGCCGCACAGGGGCCGGGGCCCTGTGGGCCCCAGGGACCGGGATCGCGGTCACAGGGCCGGCGATGTGGTCTGATGATAGTTGTGACAGATACTCTGTACATGATCCAATCTAACAAGTGTTACGGGCTATGCTCGGCACGGAGGACTCGGCTGTGCCGAGTCCGGGACAGACCCCGGACTGGGGCCCGGCAGCGGCCCCTGCAATCACCATTTCCCCCTAAAGGGACAACTAGGTAGCGACTAAGGAGACTGGTTTTGTTAGATTGGATCATGTATAAAGCATCCGATCAGGTGGTCACGTGGTGACCTCCAGGGTCGAGACCGGCTATTACCTCAGGCCCCCACTTTTAGTTGACAGACAGACACTCAAGCGATCACAATAGGGGGCAATTTAGCGGCGGAAAGGGACAGGAACAACACCCAACTCATTAACTTACCCTAGGGGAGATGCACAGAAGGTCGTCGCACAGGCGTCTTGGATGGTCAGCCCGAAGCTGCACCAGACTACGCGTATGTGGTCGGATTGATCTGAGGCTTATGTCTCCTGATAGGGAAGCATCTCATGAGATAGAATATCGAGTCGGCCGCGGAAAGGTCTGCTGGCAAGGCTTCAGTAAGGCCCGCGGCAGCCCGATATCTGAGGGTGGTGGAAGACAGAGGTTTGACAAGGATCGTAGTAACGGTCGAAAAAGATACAAATAAATCTCTCAAAAATAAAGGCAACAAATTAATAGACTCCCTAGCTGTCTCGAGTCCTTCCGGCCTCTCTGATTTCTAGGAAGAATCTCTGATGAAGTGAAAAATCGATGGATCCCTCCTGCCCTTCCTTCCTATGCCGGTCCTGACCTTCCCTTTTAACCACATCCGGACCACCCTAGAGACATCCCTGCTAGCAACCAGCTAGCCCAAGAGTCCCTGACCGCCTGCTACAACAACGGGGAGAACATAGACAATACACTCACATCAAGTCATCTGAGTGCCACGCTAGCTTTCCGACAGGTTTCTCTCTTCTCCTTAGTCTTAGATAGACAATACTAGAGCCTCCTTTTGTTATCGAACACGGGACCAGCCCTTCATAGTAAGAGACTATTAGCCGCCTTCTCACTAGAACACCTTCTACCCATACACCCTGTTACAGCCTATATTAGCCGGGATAACTTTAAGACCTGCTATCGGCGCCTTCAACTCTTTAACCCATAGCCTGCGCAGCCCTATTAGGACTCTTTTGACCGTCTTGCTGAGTAGTCTATAGTAATATAATAAGCGTCTCTTCGGCTTTTTAAGCCGGGTATAAATATCAGCATTAATAAAGCTATTATTAACTTTAAGAGGAGAAGCAAGAAGACTGTAATTGTCCCTTTAAAGCTATTAGAGCTAATAAACTATAACTAGGCTAAATAAATTCTAGGAAAATATCTATAGTAATTTTTGCAAGCTTATAGTTGAAAAATACAGAGATATTATACTTAATAATATTATGGGCTAGGGCCTATATTCTTGCAGCTATGCTGTAAGATATACTTAGCTTGTGTGTATTAGGGATAAGAAATTATTCTATAGCTTAAAGGTATTTAGAAACTTCTTTCTTTCTTCTTTATCTCTAATATAAATAGCATTTTAAATTAGATAGCTAGAATACAGTTACTAGAAGCTGTTTATAAATAATACCAGATAGTATTTCATAAAGTATAAAATCTTAGTATATATTTTTTACAATATAAAAGCTAAGTTAAATTAGCAGCTTTAGCCTACTTATAATAAGAATTCTTAGTTTTAAAAACTGTAAATCTTTTATATAAGAAAAAAAATTAATAAGAAGTTTAATATCCTTATTCTAGTTATATTTATTAAGGGTATTAATAATAAGCACTAATATACTTAATCTCTAAGTATCTAGAGTAAAATTTCTCAGTAACTATATAATAAGTTTATTAAATTAATATTATACTGCCTTTTTAATAATATAAGGATTAGTATTAATAGCTGCCTTAATATATAATATAATAGTAGGCTTTCTTTTAGCAAATTAAATAGCAATAGTTATAAAGAACTTTAATAAGCTCCCTTAGTTTATTATAGCTTAATTTACTAAATAGTAAGAGAAGCTTAAAAGAGCAGCTAGTATACCTAGTAATTACAATTAATATAATTATTAACTAATCTTTTACCCTTTAATATAGCAATCTAGTATTATTATTATATAGTTAGCTTCTCCTCTCTTAAAAAAGAAGCTACTACTAAGATAACTTAATATAACTAAAAACTAAGTAATAATATAAGATATTATAAACTTTCTAGTTCTAGCTATTTTATTAAGCTAGAAAATAAGCTTAGTATTAAGATTTAAGGCCTATTTATAAATATAGAGGAGGAGGTTAATATAGTAGGAGTCTTAAGATAAGTGGGCTAGCTAGTTGCTAGTAGGGGATTAATTGCATATAAGAATGGACAGTTAGAAGGAAGATTAAGAGAGAAAAAAAAAGAAAAAGCAAGTTCTTTATAAAAGAAATTGAAGAGATAAGAGAAAAGAGCTTATTGAGCTCAAAGCTTAAGTCTTTATTTTTGTTTTTAAAGAGATAATTCTACTACTGCTTTCCAATTATGACTCGAATTGAAGTCGAACTTCTGTCTTCTGCCACGCCGATTGTTAGCCGGCCGCAGGCTATTACGATGCCTTGCCAACTGTTAGATTGGATCATGTACAAAGCACCTAATCGGGCGGTCAGGTGGTGACCTCCAGGGTTGAGACCGACTATTGGTGCAGATACCTCAGGCCCCCACTTTTAGTGGTGATTGCAACACATACGCAGTCACGGCCGGGAGACCTCCCAGATACACACAGACAATACACACACAATCAAGTCATCCCAGTGCCACGCTAGCTTTCCGACACCAACATTCTTTTCCTGCTTCCGACTTGACAATCCACCTCATGAGATGCTTTCCTACTAGGAGGTGCTAAACACTAGATTGTCTGACCACATACGCTCGGTCTGGTGCAGCTTCGGGCTGACCAACTGAGATGCCAGTGCGACGCATTCCTGTGTACCTTCTTGAAGGACTGCTATTAATTTGGGTGTTGGCTCTTGTTCCTTCTTGCTGCCAAACTGGCTACTGTACTAGATTTATTATATTAAGTAAGGTAAAAGATGAAATATCAGTAAGAGAAGTGATAACTAGGCTAGCTATTGCTTTAAGGTGGCGATGCCGATTGCCATTGCACCTACTGTCATTAAAACCTAGACCTGAGAAATCGTGAACATAATACTGTCTGCCTCTAGGGGACTGTCTCTGGAGGACTGGGGAACTGTCGCCTGAGGACTCTCATCAGGGGATACTATTGATCGGGAGTAAAATTAGGGTTGGTGCACGGACAATTTCCGCGTATTCTGTCATAATACGACGCGTCCTGGACACGTCTGAGTTGGAGCTTGGACGATTTCCATGTATTGTGTCATAATCCGGACCAGCATAAAGGTCTTTAGGCTCTCTCTCAACATAAACATAGTCATGATCACGCTTGGTACCATTCCCTCTAATCCTCAAGTACTGCCACTACCATGGCTACCGTGGCCCTCACTGGATTGCCTACCGAACTGCTTGACAAGATCATCCCGCATGCCTTGCCAGAGGGTTTCGAGAGCCTGGCATTGACCTGCAAGGGAATCTACGCACTATGCACACCATTTATCGAGCACCACAACAAACTCCGCTCGCACTTCCAAAACTTCAATTACTGCGAAAAAATTACTGACCCATCTTTTACCATCAGAACAGCGTGGGATCTGATCATACGCATCGCTATCGAGCCTGTTGTGGCACGATACATTCGAGATGCCGACTTCAAGATGGACAGCTTCTTCTCTCGCAGCAGAACCCGTGATATGGTAGCAGATGTCGCAGATCCTCATTGTGGTGAAGCTGTCGTCAAACTGCTTGCCAGTTCTCCCCACCTAGAGCAAGCAGGTCTCGGCTGGAAGGAATTCCATACCGAAATCGAAGAGGATCTTGAAGAGAGGCGCTACTCACAACATGCTGCTGCATTTCTTCTGACGCTCCTGCCCAACGTCAACATTCTCACGCTACCAAAGTCATGGAAGCCGATTAACGCAACCGATAAGCTTCTCGATGTCATTGTTCGCGAGGCCAAGCTGTCACATCTCCCTTGGGACAGACCTACCCTCGCCCAGGTCACCAGATTTGAGCCATCTGTCTCGTTAGGACCCGACGACCGATTTGACTTGAATAAAGCGGTTCCCTTCCTGGCCTTGCCGCACGTGCGGTCGTTCCGCGGCCCCAGTTGCGTAGCCATGGGTGACGCCCCTCTAGCAATCGCATCCAGAGACCCGTACCGTGACTACGGTGTGACCCTTGAGGTGGTTAATCTCGTGAGCTGTTGTATCGGCGAGGCGGCTATTGCCGACTTTCTCAAACACACCCCTCGTCTTAAGACGCTTAGGTACTCGCATACAACAAAAGCGGATGGTGATCCCCAGGACTGGGATATCTGCAAATTCGTCACGGCTATTGAGCGGGAGGCCGGGAATCACCTCGAGGAGCTTTCTGTCTCCATTCGCGAACTACGCGGCTCAATCCCTCCTGGCAAGGCATCGATGCGCGGCTTTCAGCGTCTGCGGAAGCTCGAATTCCCTCTCGAAATTGCGATGTGTAATGTTACTTTCGCTACCTCGATGGACCACGCACTGGACTGTAGTGAGCCATTCATCGGTGACCTTGTACCTGCTTCAGTCTCTCAGCTGTCATTGACCTCAAGCGGAAAAGACCACCATGAGAAAGCTCTCGATGTCATGTTTCGCCACTTCGGCCCCAAGAAGGATTCTCAGTTGCCTGCTCTCAAAGAAATTCATCTGTCCTGCCCTGCAAGTCCAAGTGCAGACGATGCGTACAAGGAACAGTGTGCAAAACTTGTTACGGAGATCGAGAAGGTGGGCGTGGTTTTACAGTTGAAGCCGTGGCCGTCCTCAGTCACTATATCATGGGGTGGAGACTAGTGACCACGTTCTTCTCCTCTGACAGAGACAATGAAATATCTGCAGCCATGTAGCCGGAAACTGGCTTTCATGAGGTGGAGTAGCAAACTCTAGTTGGTGTTTGGATTACCGTTGATAAGGGCAAAATTGAGATAAAGGAAGTGGCGAGGGTTGTGGGGGAGATTGTGGGAAGTTGACATGGTGAGTGCACGGTTGTGAATTATGTCTGAGGAAAGAGCAAACGAATGACTGTAGGGTCAGACTGGGTGATGTCGAAGTTGAGATCTGCAAAGGGTAGCAAGTATGGGGCGGCTGTGCCTGAAGGTCTTTCGGCCTGGTATTTCTAGTTGCGCCTTCGACATTCTTCTACGAGGCTCCCTAGAGCCAAGACTAGTCTAATAAAATACTTCGAACACCCGTTAAGTTGCCAAGGCAAGAGACTTAACGGCTGAATATCCAGCCCGAAGGGTAAATATCATATATCTGCAATTCAACTCTAGGACCCCCTAGAGCCCCCCTTTCTCTTGCGGCGGGTAACCAGCTATTAAACCGCTTCAAACCTGTAGTAAGGGAGTTTGTTCCCTCTCACGCTTCCTGATAGGCTCAAATTAATTATATACCGTCTGTCAAACCTCCCCTTTCCCTATAGCATATAGCAACACATCGTTTAGTCAATGTAGCGTGGTAGATACAGCGGATCGGTCAGCTGTTGAGCCTGACGGCATTGTTGGTCAGCAAGGCGCATCTTCATCCCTGCCTTATAGTTAGCTACAAACGTAGTACGTAGGGAACGCAGGCGTATAAACCTTCCGTGGGCGTGTAGTTATAGAGGCTCTGACAATTAAAAGGCGCCTCAAGGAGTAGGCCTTGTAGTGAGATAACTTATAAGATAGCAATATAATTAATACCAGCTTAGAAGTTGCATATAGCAAGATCAGTAACGTATATAATAAGCGAGTGCACAATACAAGCGAGTGCACAATTTTTCTTCTAACCGCCCTCTTCCCTCTTTTAACTCCATTTTTTCAACCACGCATTATGTCGTCAATAAGCAATGAGGCAAATATCAATCTTGCCCTTCAAGCCCTTTAGAAAGACCCTCAATTAACTCCCTACCGCGCCTCAAAGATCTATAAGATCTCTCGCCATACTCTACTACGCCGACGCGCCGGCATTACTTCGCGACGCGATACTATGCCCAATTTGCGTAAACTATCTGATCTAGAGGAACAGACTCTTCTTGAGTATATTCTTGACCTAGATTCGCGAGGGTTTCCCCCGCGACTGAGCGGTATGGAAGAAATGGCCAACTGACTGCTCGCCGACCGCGATGCGTTATCTGTCGGTAAGTGCTGGGCTTCTAACTTTATTAGGTAATAACTAGAGCTTAAGATGTGTTTTTTTTATAAATATAACTATTAGAGGGCTAAATATAAAAATCTAATTATTATTTATAATTAATTTTAGCTTATAGAGAATATAATTATAAAATATAATATTAATTTAGTTAATATTTATAATTTTAATAAAATTAGCTTTATAATAGGTATAATTATAAGTAAAATAGTTATTATAGGTATAAATAGATATAGAAATTTAAAATTAATTTAATTTAGAAATTAGAAATAAGTTATAGTTATTTAGGTAATTAATATAAAAGGCTAAGTAATTTAGTTATTTATTATAGTTATAAGCTAATATTATCTTATTAGCTAATATTAAAAAAGTAACTTTCTAAGTAATTAGGCTATTATAATAATTTAAAATAGCTAGATTAATAATAAAATAAATCTTAAGTAGCTTAAGTACTTTAACTAATATATAAAGGCCTAATTAATTAGTTACTATTATTTTTTAATTCTTAATAAATATAAAAGTTACTATTTAATTAACTTTAAGAAATATTATAAAAAGAAGAATATTATTATATTTTATATACTATCTTATTTATCTTATTTACTCTAGCCTCTTAATATTAAGTACTTTAAGCTATTAAAATAAATATATAATTAGAAGATTAAGTATTTAATTAAATATTCTATTACTTATATTTTAAAAACTAAATTCTTTCCGGCCTTTTATACTATCTACTAAGCTACTATAATAAAGAGTAATATTAAAGGAGGTTTTTAAGGGGCTGGGTTTGTTTTTTTAAACCTAGAAAATATTATATTAAAGCTTAATATATAGCTATAGACTTTAATATTAATTAAGAAGAAGGTTAGCCTCTTTAACTCTTAGATCTTAAAGACCCTAAAGATTATACTTAAAGCTAGCTTATAATTTAAATATCTTAAAAGATAAGTTAGAAGGTATTAAAGTAGCTCTTTAATATCTATTTTTAAGATACTTAACTTATTTTCTAAGAGAATAAAAGTAATAATATATTAAATAGTATTATTAAAGTTTAAAAATTAAATTCTTTAATAAGTAAATAAGATTCTTAGTAAGTAGTATAGAGTAAAGAAAACCCATTTATATAAAGAAGGGAAGATAACTTTAGATAAGAATAAAAGTAAGATAAATTAAAGAGATATTAATATATAGATAGCAGCTAAATTATTAAGAAGTAGTAGTTAAGGGAAGTTAGTAATACCGAGGAAAAAGTATTGTAAAACTTATAGAAAGGCTGGTTATAATATAAGAATCTATTAGATTATAATTAAGATCTTTAAGGAAGAGTATAGTAATTAATTTTAATTAATTAATTATATTATTATAGTTTTATTAAGGTTTAAATCTTAGAGGTTAGAAAAAATTATATACTTACTTATATTATATACTTACTTATTATATATATTAACTATTTAATTTTTTATTAGGCTTTAGTATTTATAAATAGTAATAATAAATATTATAATTAGGGGAAATTATATATAAGTATAGGTCTTATTACTAACTAGGAAATTATATATAACTAGAAGAATAGATATAATTTTTCTACTTTTATTAGTTATTAGATATAGCAGTTTATTATAGCTATTAAAATTTATTATAATAATAGCTAGGGAATCTTTCTATAGTTTAATATTTACATTCTAAGTAATATTATATATAATATTCTAAGTGCTATTAACTAGGCTAGCTAGCTGCTATAAATTAGTTATAAGTATTATTCTAATACTCTTAGTAATAGAAAACTTATTAGATAAATTACTAGTATAATTATTTAATACCTACTTTATACTATTATTCTAATTCTTTACCTCTACTTATATTACTAGGGTATTAAGGTATACTATATACTTATAATTATATATATTAATACAGGCTTTTATAGAATATACCTATATAGTAGCTTTAAATTTATTAATTTTATTTTATATTAGCTTAGCTTATATTTAATTACTAAAGAGGTTTTAAAATAGTATCAATAACTTAATATTATACAGTTTCTATAATATCTAATAGAACTAAACTTAATTATTACCAGCTTAATACTATACTATAGTTAGAAAGATAGTATAGTTAAATAATTAGTAGGCTATTTACTTTTTTCTTTTTAATAAAGATAGACTAATACTAGTTAAATATAGGGGCTTTTACTAGACTGGTAATAACTAAAAGAAATTGCTTATAAGTAAGATATTTATACTACTAAAAAACTTTAGGCTGTATTATAGAAAGATTTATTATAGGTAGGAATTAATTTATATAAGTTACTTAAGTTTTAATAGACATCCTAATAATAAAT